CTTCCTGGACAGCAGCAGCACCTGTACAGTTGCTAGTTTGAGGCTGGTGTTGATATTCTGACAAGAATGGCTCGGCCATGGCTAGTAGAGTCCTCGAAGTTTGAGAAATTTTGGCTAGTAAGTCCTTTAGGGAAAAAATGGGTTGTTCTTAAAAAAAAAAAAAAAAAGTCCAACAGAGTCCTCTTCAGTTTGTAGTTACTGCAGTGACGCCTTTAGCCAGTCCTTCTATCAGCAAACTCCAATAGCAATCTAGGGAGCTCAAGTCAGTAAAGGGTTAAGCGCCCACAGTGCGGCCAGCTAGCGGGTCCAAGGGGGTGCAGCGGCAGGAACAGTACGTAATGTGCGGAGGTGGGCCTCAAACCTCCAAGCGGAGCACCCCAACAATAAAGGAGTTGGTGAGCAAGGTGATGAGGGTAAGTCCACTGGGTGAAACCCAGCCCCGAAGGGGTTAAAACTACCGATGACGCTGCCTCCGAGGGGCAAGATCCACAAAGGGTTAAATCCCCTGCCGCAAAGCCCACAAGGGGTTAAAGTCCCGGAGTCACCTCCTCCCACTTCCACGGGTGTCGCTTCAACCCAAGCTCCCAGTTCCCTAGGCCCGGCCGGAGCCTCAGCAGAGGACAGACAAACTCATCTCCCCTTTGGCTCGATGCTCTGCTCTGCTCAGTTCTCCTCCGCCTCCTCTTTTCCTCCCTCCCTCCTCCCCCTTCCCACAGCTCCTCTTCCGCCTCCTCCCCCGACTTTCCCTCTCAACCTGCCTCTCCACCTGCCAACTTCCAACTGCTGCCTCCCAGCCCTCTGCGCCCCTTTTATATAGAAGCGTGTTCGCTCCGCCCGTGCGCATGCGTAATAGAGTTTCCATCGTGGGGAGCCGGGAGTCGTAGTTCTTATCTTTCGGGCCCGCCGTCCTCGCGCGCCGTGCGACGTAGCCAATCCCAGAACGCGTAGGGGGTGTCACCCAGGCTGCCTCCTTCCATCGCTTAGCCCTCGCTAAAGAAACGCGAGCGACCATTGGTCAAAAGTCACAAGACTCGCTGAAGAAGGATAGCCAATCGCAGAGAAGATGGGGCGGGTTCTGGACCGTACCATTCTGTTTCTGGAATACGAGAAGATTCGATGGCCTGTGAGAATGCACACAGAATATTTTTATGAAAAGGTGCGTTATAAAGGCTATTATCGTATTCTGTTCTCAGCGGAAGGGTTCCGAAGGTTATGAACCTTTATTAACTAACGCAAGAATGGTTTATTCCTAAAAAGTAGTCCCTAAAATGTAAAAGAATTAAATTCTATAAAGAGAGATGTCGGCTCACGGTTGCTTACTTGCGAGTCTTAAGATTATAGAAACGGCTTCAAGGCGAGTGGTGAGTGCCCGAGACTGACACTTGCGGAAGGATATCGCGAGTACATTTTGTTAAAAACGAAAAGCGCATGAAGAAGTAAACAAATGAAGAATAAAAAGTGCCGCCTTAAAGGGACAGTGTGACTGCCTTTAGTGCAGCAAGCTCGCACTAGGCCTCGGAAGACGAAAGGGCGGGTTCGAGTCCCGGTGACGCCGACCCCCGGACTGGCCTCGGGACCCTTAGGTGAAAGTGACCGAGTCCCAGCCTCAGCCTGGTCTTTAAAACCACCCCGCCCCAGGGTCCAATGCAGACTGGTGATTCGCGGCCAAGCCTCTTCCCTGGGCCGAGATCGGAAAGCGCGGGTGGGGGGAAGGGGGGTGAAGGCCTCGCCCCCAGGCCTCATCTTCTGTCGAAGAAAATGGCCTCCTGGGGCCGATTTGGTCTTTTCACTTCCGACTGGGATCATTTCCTGAGCCGGGACAGGGGAGGTCCGGGCCGGCCATGAGGCTGTTTGTTGGGGAGGGATTCGTTATGAATACTGAGTTGAAATCATCAGCCCTGGCTATCCGAGAGGGAAGCAGGTCTAATCCGCAGAGGCCCTTCTTCATCAGTGGGCACTGGGCAAGACTGGGAGGGAAGCATGAAGGAGGCCTTGCCCCTAAACTTGTGGCAGGGGATTCTGGCGCTGGGCTGGGAGGCCGATTTTCCCTGGGGCGTAGTTTCTCAGAGATAAATTATCCAGACTCAAGCCCCCAGCCCTCCAAAAACGGACTGAGAGGACCCAGAGAACCCTCCATACCAGTCACCAGGGCCTAAAGCGCCCTTTCCACTCTCCCTTGCCACACACCCAGTGACCCTCTCTTCTTACTGCTTCCTTAATAGCATCCCTGACATTCCAGCCCGTTTGCACTGTGCACCTTTTACGCACAGAGCCATGTGACCTCACCACAGCCTGGCGAGTTAGGCACGATAGGAATGACTGTCTCCATTTTACAGATAAGGCATCTCTAAGACGCCAGAAAATAAGTGACTTGTCCAAGGTCACATGATATCCAAGGGGCAGTCCTGGCTAGAGAGCTCGGGTCTTTGTGACCTCCCCATGCCATTTTTCTTTGTCACAAACACAAAACCCTGTTTTTTCTTAAAATCGGGAAAACTGGATTTCGTTCTTTTCATTCCTAACAGCTTCAACCTTATTCAGCCTCTATATCATTTGGCAGACAGGAGGGTACAAAGAGAGGTGGGATGCCATCCTTGCCTTCACATTGCTCATGGACTGTGGAGAGGCCGTCAGACCACAGCCAGCCAAGATGGCAAGTGAGGGAAATCCTGGTGGGAGCTGATGAGCCGAGTGCGTGGGAGCTGGGAATTGTGGACAGGTGTCAGGAGCAAGTGACTTCCTGGCTGGCTCTGAAGGATGAAGAGTGTTCAGGCAAAGTGGCATGCAAGGGCATTTTAGGAAGACCAAGCATCATGTGCCAGGAAGGGACTAGTCTGGGACCTCGGTGACTCTGGGCAGTATGAGATATGGGGTCTGGGGCCAGTGGTGATGGACACAGCCAGTGGAGATGCCTCCAACGGGAGTCACAAGCACGTGGGCCTCTGGGCACAGCTAGATGTTCTGAAAATCAACACCCTGGTTTGTTTTCTCTGGGCTTCCAAGAACTCGGGTCCACCTGAAAAGCTTCCCCCTCCGTATGACTTCATCCCTTAGGAGGCTTCCTGAGAGCAGGAACTGCCCCTCAGAGCACTCCTAGAGGAAAAGGGGTTTTGCAGAGAACTTGGTTATCAGAGACCTCCAAATTGTTACCACTTCTTCAGACTCCAGAGGATTCTGGGGTACCCCCAGTTAGGGCATTTGGAAGGTGCAGCTGAGCCCAGCCTCAGTGTCCTGGACGGGGCTCCACTTATGGTCTCATTTGTCATATTAGGGGAGAAGTGGACAGACGAATAGATTGTAGAATTTTATTTATTTATTTATTTTTTGAGACAGAGTTTTGCTCTTGTTACCCAGGCTGGAGTGCAATGGCGCGATCTCGGCTCACCGCAACCTCCGCCTCCTGGGTTCAGGCAATTCTCCTGCCTCAGCCTCCTGAGTAGCTGGGATTACAGCACGCGCCACCATGCCCAGCTGATTTTTTTTGTATTTTTAGTAGAGACGGTGTTTCACCATGTTGACCAGGATGGTCTCGATCTCTTGACCTTGTGATCCACCTGCCTCAGCCTCCCAAAGTGCTGGGATTACAGGCATGAGCCACCGCGCCCGGCCTGAATTCTAGGATTCTGTCAAGGGGCCAGGCAATCTATTAGCTGGGTTTTAACCCTTTGCCAGGCATTTAACGTGCCCTGTCACAGCTAAATCCCAGGACTGCTTTATGACGAAGAGATCAACCCTATTTCACAAACAAGGCCACCCAAGCTCAGAGCAGTTAAGAATCTTGCCCATGTTCCACAGCTACTGTGAAAGTGGTGGAGCTGGCTTCAGCACCCCCCTCCCCACCTGCGTCCCCCACCAAGGTGGCCCTGCGTGGTGCGTCCTGCTTGCTGCAGTCCAGCCTTGTAACAGGGGCTGTTCAGCCTGTGCCTGTGACCCTGGCCTGAGCCATGCAGAGCAGCACCGTCTAGCCTCAGGGATGCCTTCACGGCTTGGAGAGGAGGGACGACTAGAGTGGCTGTGGCTTCCGGTAGGGCCAATGACGGCCAAGCCTGGGGCGGTGGTCAAGACTAGGAGCTGACAGGGAACTCAGGAATCAGAACTGCCTTTTCCCGGCCCAGTGGTAGGAAGGTCCTAGGGCCCAGGTGGTAGCAATGGCGGGGGGCTCCATTGCTGGAGGGGGCTCCTCCTGGCCAGGTGACTTGGAGGCTTTGGCACCAGGCGGCGCTCAGAGCAGCCAGTTTCGCCGTTGAATAATACGGGCCGGGCCGTGGCTTGAGCCAGGGTGGCCCAAGGACAGGGCTGGTGCTGACAGACGGAGGCCAAGGCCTTTGGCCTGTGCCCCCGGGAGGGCGATACACTTGCAGGCGCTAGGCCCACCCCTACGAGGGCTTCCAAGCGCGCAGGGCCCTGCCCCCTACTCAGGGCGGGGCGAGGACGAGGCTCTTGCTGGGCCTTGGCCTTCCAGAAAATTCCCTGGGAAGGCCCAGGCCTGGAGGTCAAGGTGGGGCACCGAGAACAGGCAGCTGAGGCGGGGGCAGGGAACACTTCTGGGGTCCGGGGCTCCGAACCCCATCCCTACGCTCGCGGTACGGCGCTGGATCAGCCGCCGTCCCCTTCGGGCGAGGGCCGAACCAGCTCCCCGGCCCCGCCCAGCCGTGTTCCTCTCCTCCCTGCCGCCCCCCAGCTCGCTGGGTCCCGCGTCCCCGACGGGGCGGCGGGCAGAGCCGCGCGCTCGGCCAACCCCTCGGTCCCGCCCTCCCGAGGGCGCCCCCCTCCCGGCCCGGGCTGCCTTTGGTTACCCTCCCACTCCCCTCCACACCGAGGCCTGTTTTCCCCCTCGCTCGCCCGGGGAGGAGGGAAAATATTCCTCATTCATAAACACCAACCGCCGGCCTCCTTCAGGGCCATCAAGGGGGCACTGGGTGGGGAGCAGAAAAGGGACTTGGGCCTCGCGCGCTCCCGGCCCCTCTTCCCGCTGCCTCCGTAGGGGACCAGACAGCAGAAGATTATGGATTTCCTTTATTTAGTGAAACATTCGTTTGTAAGTGAATCTTCAATGAAGACGTTCCTGAGTGTGTGTGGGGGCACCGGGGGCCAGCAGGGGAGGAAGGTGAGCAAAATCTGCGCTCACACCTCTCTCCCGGAGCCTGGTCACTCCTCCCAACTGGTCCAGGCCTCCTGGCCTCCCTCCCGCAGCCTCCCAGCCAATCATTCTTCCAGGCCCCGGCCCAAGTCCCAACTTGCCCAAGAGCTGAACCTCCGCAGGGAGAAGCAGGGGTGGGAAGAGTCAGGTGACCCAGAGGATGGGGAGGGCAGGGGCTGAGACCCAACAGCCCCGCCCCCTGTCACGGCCAACCCAGCACCGGGACGTGCACCACAACTGCGGCCTCCCCGGAGAGCCTGGGTGGGCGGGGAGGGAAGGAAGCGTCCTGGGAAGCTGTAAAGAGGGGTGACCGCCCTTTGACCGCCCCCCGCTCCCCGCTTTAGAGGAGGAGGTGCGAAGGCAAACACTGAGGGGAGGGGGAATTTTGAAGGCTGTTCTTCTAAAGCCTAGGAAGGCTCAGGGCACACCAAGATGGTCTCAGCTGGCTGCAGAGACCCCTCCACTGACAGTCACCTCTTTTGGGTCCGCAACATTCGGAAGAGCCACTGGACGACGAAGGGCCACAGGAGGAAGAAGAGCAGTGCAGGACCCGGGAGCCCAAGGGGCCATGGCCGAGCACTGGGCCTGGGCTGCCGCCTCTGCAGCCGAGAGGGAGGGAGTCAGAGACAAGTCCAGGCCTCAGCACAGCCCTCCCTAGGAATCTGCTTCCAAACTCAGGGGGCGATTGGGAAGACCCTGCCGCTGAGTCTGCGCCACTAGAAGGGAAGTGGCCTCCAGGGTGGCCCTGACGGGTTGCATGCCAACTCCCTCCCACATCTCCCTCCCCAGGGCAATCCCAGTGTCAAGAGAGGCTGGAGGGGCTGTGGGTAGAAACAGCGGCTTCTCTGCCGTCTTCTCCGGCCACAAAGCAGTGACCGTTGGTGTGACCCGAAGACCCTATGTTGTAAAGGATGTGCCGCATATTTCAAATGAGGACCCTGGGTACCCAGATTTTAGTTTCCAAGTGTGGTTCTTCACTAAAAAGGAGCCAAGTCTTCTTGGAGAAGTGGCTGATTCCAGGTCTGGGGCAAGGAAGGTGGGAGTGAATGTGGGCGCTTTGTCACACAGGAAAGCAAGGTCGTTCTTAAAGATTCATCAGATCGTGTTATGAGAACATAGGACCCGGCTTGAAAGTGTCTCAGAATGGCCCAAGTTGTGACTGTCTGAACATCAAAAAGAATGACTGTGGCTCGTGGGAATACTGAATCTGAAACCCATGAGCCCACAGTGATACTCAAAATAAGAGAAAACTGAGATTTTGTCACCATTTAGGTGGCTTTTAAATTAATTTCTTACTTTAAAAATAGATAGAACTAAAGAGAAAGAATTAAGCACATATCCTCCCTTTCCATGGTATTTCAGGGAAACCCAAGATGATGAGGGAAACAGTACACAAATTATAGCTGATAGATGTTAAAGGAATCAGAGAATTTAAAAGTCAGCTTTTTTTTTTGCAATCACTAAATAAATTATTGACTCAGACAAGGATTAGCAATTGTCAAAAACTGGCAGATGGAGTTGATGGGGAACTGGATATTCTCCAACTGCAGAAGGAAAACATGACTTCACAATGGTGCCAGTGGCCCATGCTACAACCACTAATGGTGGGACATCCAGGTGGCATGTGTCCTCTGCTGTGAAAAAAACACCTCTCATGTAGTCTGGTCCAAAATATTGCGGTCTTTGGTTTGTGTGTGTGTGTTTTTTGTTTGTTTGTTTTTGTTTTTTTGTTTTTTTAAAGACAGGGTTTCACCATGTTGGTCAGGCTGGTCTTGAACTCCCAACCTCGGGTGATTCACCTGCCTTGGCCTCCAAAGTGCTTGGATTACAGGCGTGAGCCACCACACCCGGCCTGGTTTGTGTTTTTTTTTTTTTTGAGACGGAGTTTCGTTGTTGTTGCCCAGACTGGAGTGCAATGGTGCGATCTCGGCTCACTGCAACCTCTGCCTCCTGGGTTCAGGCAATTCTCCTGCCTCAGCCTCCCGAGTAGCTGGGACTACAGGCACGCACCATCATGCCCAGCTAATTTTTGTATTTTTAGTAGAGACGGGGTTTCACCTTGTTGACCAGGATGGTCTCGATCTCTTGACCTCGTGATCCACCCGCCTCGGCCTCCCAAAGTGCTGGGATTATAGGCGTGAGCCACCGCGCCCGGCCTGGTTTGTGTTTTTTTGAGACAAGGTCTCACTCTGTTGCCCAGGCTGGAGCACAGTGACTCCGTCACCATTCACTGCAGGCTGAATCTCCTGGGCTCCAGCGATCCTCCCGCTTTCGCCTCTGGAGTAGCTAGGACTACAGGTGCATGTGGTCACGCCCAACTAATTTTTTTTTTTTTAGATGGAGTCTTGCTCTGTTGCCCAGGCTGGAGTGCAGTGGCACAATCTTGGCTCACTGCAATCTCCGCCTCCTGAGTTCAAGCGATTCTTCTGCCTCAGCCTCCCGAGTAGCTCACTTGCCACCACACCCGGAAAATTTTTTTGTATTTTTAGTAGAGACAGAGTTTCACTGTGTTAGCCAGGATGGTCTCGATCTCCTGACTTCATGATCCACCCTCCCAGTGCTGGGATTACAGGCGTGAGCCACCACACCCAGCCCTAATTTTAAAAAATAGATTTTGTAGAGATGAGGTCTCAAACCCCTGGGCTCAAGCCATCTGCCTGCCTCAGCCTACCAAAGTGCTGGGATTATAGGTGTGAGCCACCATGCCCAGCCCAAAATGTTTAATTTGACTCTAATCCAGTGCTTAGATCTAACTTCCAGTTCACACGAAATACGTATCGCGGAACCACCCCTGAGGATCTAATTAGACTTGAAAGGTGGAACATTCTATAGGGCACCAGTCCAGACTGGTCAGCAAGTCAATAGCAAGGAGAAAGACTGGCCTAGATGAAAAGAGAATTGGAAGGGGAACAGATGCAGTTGTGGTCCTAGACTGGAGAAGCAGAGGAGCCAGAAAAGGCGGTTTCAGGATAATTGGAGAAATTAGAATTTAGACTGGATATTTGACGACATTAAGAAATTACTATGTGTAATAAAATGTTGTTTGGGCTAGGTAAAATGTTCATATTTTGAGAGCTATGAACCCCACTCTTTCAGGGTGGAACATCGCGAATTATAATTTTTTTTTTTTTTTTGAGACAGGATTTTGCTATGCTGCCCAGGCTAATCTCAAACTCCTGGACTCAAGAGATCCTTCTGCCTCAGCCTCCCAAAGTACTAGGATTATAGGCATGAGCCACCATGCTGGCTTGTAGTCTACTTTAAAATCTTCAACATTTAAAAGTAGTAAATGATAAGAAAAAAGAAAAGGAAGCCTGGCACCGTGACTCACTCCTGTAATCTCAGCACTTTGGGAGGCTGAGGCGGGCGGATCACAAGGCCAAGAGATCGAGACCATCCTGGCCAACAGAAATTCTGTCTCTGAGCTAAAAATTAAAAAATTTGCTGGGCGTGGTGGTTTACGCCTGTAGTCCCAGCTACTCAGCAGGCTGCGGCAGGAGAATTGATTGAACCCGGGAGGCAGAGGTTGCAGTGAGCCAAGATCGCACCACTGCACTCCAGCCTGGCGACAGAATGACACTTCATCTCAAAAAACAAAAGAAAAAAAATAAAGCCCTGTTGAGGGGGAGGTGCAGTGTTGAAAGGTTAGTCACCATGGATCTGAGGAAATCCCGACACTGTGGCTTACACCCACTGTGCTGAGTGGGTTAGGAGTCGCCCCAGAAATCCCCCACATCTGGGAACCCAGCCCCCTCCTGCCTCCACTACCTCAGGCTTTTCAAGAACAGATCCACTAAGAGTTAATGGCGGGTACCAGCTTTGCAGGGAGACAGACTAGGGGCCACTCCCTGCTCCATCACTTAATGTTAATCATAACAGCAGTTAACAACAGAACCAACTGGAGAAGGCTTTCTGTGTGGTGGACACTGCGGAAGCACCGGCGAATCCTCACAGCAGCTCCAAGAGGCTCGCCCAGGTTGTGTGCCCTCAGGGAGCCTTAGTTTCCCCTTCTAAAAGGGAGGTGAAAAACCCTATCTCAGCTGGGTATGGTGGCTCACGCCAATAATCCCAACACTTTGGGAGGCCAAGGCAGGTGGATTGCCTGAGGTCAGAAGTTTGAGATCAGTCTGGCCAACATGGTGAAACCTCATCTCTACGAAAAACACCAAAAAAGTAGCGGGGCGTGGTGGCGTGCGCCTGTAATCCCAGCTACTTGGGAGGCAGAGTTGCTTGAACCAGGGAGTTGGAGATTGCAGCGAGCCAAGATCTTGCCACTGCACTCCAGCCTGTGCAACAGAGCAAGACCCTGGAGAGAGAGAGAGAGAGAGAGAGAGAGAGAGAGAGAGAGAGAGAGAG